TTCAGGCTGGCCCTGAACTCACCAAGTAGCCCAGGCTGGCCTTGAACTCTCAGTGATCCTCCTGCCTCAGCCTCTGGAGTGCTGGGATTACAGGTATGCACCTCCATACCTGGTTGCCAATCTCCTTGCCATGAGGACCACAGCACAGATCTGCGTCCTGAAGAACTGGCCATTTCACTAGCAGAGAAATGTGATGCAGAGTAGATCCACCGCACCAAGGAAGACACAGTCAGCAGAGGATGTGTGAGCACCAGAACACACCCGGAGCAGGAGACACGAGCTTAATGCTGTCTGAACACATGAGAGATACCAGTCTCTCTCTTTTGGACTCTCAGAAGTACCTAGAGGAGAACTGACAGCCAGTTGCAAAAACGACTGTAACATGGACACTTTGTTAATATCACCATGCTTGCATCTATGGGTCTGTAAAGCCTGAGACATTTGATTAGAGAATGAATAGATGAGGTGAGGCAGGCTTCCCTTGTTTATTCATTAGATATATATTTACTGAGCATCTGTGTGCCACGCACAGTGTGAGATACTGGACATACAAGGGTTTACAAAACACAAACGATCCCTGCCCCATGGAGCTTCTAGTCCGATAGTCACATGACTCAGTTGCCACCATCTGCCCGTGTGCCATTCAGGAAAGGCATGGGATTCACGAGACAGTCTACTAGGAGGGGTTATTTTAGATTAGGGGTCGGAGAAGAACGTGTGAGGAAGTGACATTTTAAAACCAGACCTGAACTCAGAGTTGGCCGGTGAAGGACAGAGGCTGTGCATTCCAGACAGAGGGATGTGCAGGTGTGGGAGATGAGGGACAAATGCTTGTCCATCTGGAGGTTGAAAGGACAGCAGTGGGGCAGAGCTATGACAGCAAAGTGGGCACGGCACCAGAGAAAGCTGGAGAGAGATCCTAGCCAGGATCAGACCCCACAGGAGCTCTTAGGACTTAGGGTTGGAGGTTAAATGTAATGGGAAGGAGAGTGGTGTGATCAGATATATTTGTACAAAGATCACCCTGGTGTGTGTGTGTGTGTGTGTGTGTGTGTGTGTGTGTGTGTGTAGAATGTACTGGACACAACAGGGAAGACAGGGAGAAAGTATGGTGGGTAACACAGTTGTCTGCAAGTGGCTTGAGGGTGGCATGGCTGTGGTGAGGAAGTGGAGGAACTTGAGAAATATTTTTTAAAAGAACTGAGACAATAAAGATTTTTCTCACACTCCATGCTATAGTATAGACACACAGCCACGTTGACTTTAGACAAAGCAACCAGTGAATAGTTTGATTGTGCCCATCCGTCCCTGATGTGGGCTGTTTTGCTTTGGGTTAGGAGAGCTCTTTTATTTTATTTTTTTTCTCTTGAGATAGGCTTTGGGTATTTTCCCAAGGCTGGCCTTGAACTCTTGAGCTGAGGTGGTTTCCTGCCTCAATTATCTGAGCAGTTGGGGCTACAGGCAGGCGCCACTGTGCCTGGTGGGTTAGCAGAGGTCTCGGACACGCCTACCCTTGACTTACTTAGAGCCCCATGTGATGGGCCTCAGTTTTATGTTGAAAGATTTCCTGAGAAAGCTTTCACAACTTCTTCATTAACCTCTGCTTATGTTCAAAATACACAATTACCACCTGGAAGTTCCGCTTGAGTTTCATCGGAATGCTTGCCACTCAAAAAGTTTGTGATTTCCGATGGCGATGATGAGGGGAAAAAAAGTCAGCGGGCTGCCAGATAGGAATGATGTCATGAGGACAGTTGTCAGCTGTGTCTGTCCCAAAGCCAAAGTGATTTCTTCATCAGCAACAGAGGGATGACTGAATATCCCCAGAAAAGGAATCCAGTTAGTTATGTGTGTAGCTGTTTAGCTCACCGCCAAGTTCTTTGCTCTGGAAGCTCCTGGTGTGGGCCCAGGAGCGGTACCTGGGAGCTGCTTAGAAATGCGGGATCGAATTAGCAGTTGCATTTTTTTTAGCACGATCCCTAGGCAGTTTGTAGGCACTTGAAGAGTTGAAAAGCAGCCGCCTTAGATCACTGTGAGGCTGTCTAAAAGTGGGTGGGCAGCGGCAGGTGCCAGATAGTTGACATGCAGGGAGCCTTGGCAGGCCGTTAGGAGAACCCAACTGGTCCATCAGGAACTGGTTTTTCTCTGGAAGTTCCCTGCCCCGAAGCCAGAGACCATCGCAGCCCAAATCAGAGGCAATGTGCTGGCGGCTGGTTATGTGGCTGGTGAGAGGCGCTGGGTGAACACCCCCTTGCTGCTGAGATGCTGGTGGGTAGAAACTGGGGTAGGGATGAGGGGCAGGTGAGCAACCTCTGCCCCCTGATGTGGGCTGTTTTGCTTTGGGTTAGGAGAGCTCTTTTTTTTTCTCTTGAGATAGGATTTGGGTATTCTCCCAAGGCTGGCCTTGAACTCTTGAGCTGAGGTGGTTTCCTGCCTCAGTTATCTGAGCAGTTGGGACTTCAGGCAGGCGCCCACCCGGGCGACCACATCACGCTGCCCACCGCCACACGAGCAGCAGCAGAGGCTGAGGAGGGTTGAGCTTGCACCCTGTGCCGCCCAGTGTGAAGATTTTGGTCTTTGTCTTCTTAGCTTGGTCCCTAAGTGTCTTGCTGTCCTTGGTGGCTTGGGTGATTCTCCCCTGTGTCCTTTTGGACTGAGCTGCTCAGACGAGCAGGGCAAGGCAGTTTTAGCGCCTTAGTAGAAAACACTCCCACACACTCCTACAACGGTCCTCGCTCGAACAGGGCGCCTGGCTCCAGGCATTCTGAGGGCTCTGCCACACCACCCACCTGGTGCTCAGCCTCTTCAGCCCAAGGACCCTTGCCACCACCCCCACCCCGTGTCCTCCCCCAACACACACAGAGACACTGAGGGCAGCCTGGCAAAACAAGGACACTGCCTCGTTACTGCCTTCTTGCAAAGTGTTTCCAGGCACAAGATCTAGACCAGAAGAGAATCATTCGTCTCTGTCTTAACCGGGCCTGGTCCTCCCACAGAACCTGACAAATGGATGAAGTTGGTGGGCTGTTTAAAGCATATGGTTTGCAAATACTGTAACATCAACATTACTTTTGGCTTTTATTTACTGCAATGTTTCACCTCGCACCTAGCACCAAGATAGCTGATGAGGTCCTCTGTGCCTTGGCTCCCTTTCCCCTGCTTCTTTCTCCTCTTGGGGAATCTTGGCTCCTTGCCTTGCTCCAGCCCCCTGCCCCCAAGTTCCCTTCATTTTACTGGTGGCCCAGAGCCTTACTGCGCCTGTCCTCCCTGCCCCGCTTGATCTGTTGCTCCCTTGCCTCCCTCTGCCTCTCCTGTGCTCCATGATCTGCTGAAATGCTCACCTCTTCTCTTCTTCCTGCCTTCGCTTCTAAAGGTTGCAGCTGCTCCTTACTTACACTCTGCTCCCCCAGCCGCTTCCAGGCTATTTTCTCTTCCCTCCCAGTCCCCAGTCCAGAGCCCTTTCTTCTCCTTGGTCTCTAAAGTGAACATGAGGATCAGAGAACTGTAGAATCAGAGTCACAAGGGACAGAGCCGGCGTTACACCGGCAGTCCCTTCTGAGTCAGAAGCACTCTTCTTTTATCATTTGTACTAATGGCTGCTCTTCTGTTCCTCCCTGCAGCAGGAAGGGCTGGGAGAAGGAACAAAGGATTAGGGCCCCCCATGCATCCTCACCGACACCACCCCAACCTTTTCTCTCCTGTCTGAGCACACACACGTGTGTGCACAGAAGCACATGTGTGGACACGCGCAGGCATGTGCACCCACACACTCCTTTGAAGAGTACTGCATGAAGATGTGTGTTCCCAGGCTCCACGAAGGCAAAGCACTTCCTGTCCTGGTCCCTGTTGCCCTCTACCCAGGCTGAGCTGTGCATCACATCCCCAAGATGGGCACTAGGACACACAGTTGTGGTCCGAGGTGTCAAGGAGGGACAGTGGCAGCGTGGTCCCTCTCCTTAGGAGCCACTCTCGGAAATGGGGAATCCAGCAGTGGTTCAGCAGTCCGATGGATCAGGAAGCTCTTTTCAAGCCAGCTCTTGCCCTGGGCCATACTCAGTCCATCAATCCATCTATCGATCCATAGTCAAGGCTCTTGGCTTCTCTCTGGGCCACTGGGCAAGGCAGCTTCAAGCATAGGAAATCAAGAGAGAAAACGAGCAGAGCCCTGCAGAGACACCCTCCAAGCTGTCAAACAGTGACTCTAACATTCTGCATTTTCAGCCAGTGCTTCTCCAAACACTTGACAGAATCCAGGATGCTACTTTCCTTGTAGCTGGGGAAACGGAGGTTATAGCCAAGTAGGCCCCAGGGGATCCGTAAAGAAACCACCCCCACTGCTGCTTCCCAGCCCTGGGCTCCTCTCTCTTCACGTTGGAGATACTCTCCCGTCAGCCACAGGGAAGAAGATTGCTACCCAAGGAGCGTTCACTGGTGGAGGAGAAACGTCTCAACTGGCAGCTGGGAGCCCAGCCTTGCTCTGGCAGCGCCTCTCTTATGTTGCTGCTGCGGTTCTTGCCCCTGCCAGCTTCCTGCTCAGACTTGCTTGGTGCCTGCGGGCCCGGACGGGCTGCTCCTTAATTCTCAATGCAGCAGCGGGAGAACGGGCGGTGAGCTGCCCTGCGAGCCCTCCAGGTGCGTGGGGTGTGCAGGGGAGCCCCAGCGTGCCCCGCCGTGTTCAGCTCCACCCTACTGTTCTTTGGCTGAGGCAGGGGTGTGGACTCTGCTTAGCTGCTCTCTGGGAAAACTCGCAAGCCAGGGAGGAAGTGGGGGAGAGATCAACGACAAAAAAAGTTCTGTATCATCCCGCTGCCTGTGCTTCCCACTTCCCCCACTGCCTTCTGCACACCCCAGAGGAGCAATAAAGAAGCCTGAATATCATTCTCTATCTGTGTTTCCTTTCAGATCAATTAATTAACCAATCCCATTGCCAATAAATACTGTTATAAAATGTGTGCATACATCGGTGAACTTAGAGATGCCGCTCGGCCCCAGCACACTTGTACACTCTATCAGGTATATGTAGTCGTGGGGTCCGGCTCTTGTTCCTTGCTCCCTCTCTTCTGGACAGCTTCAGACAAAAAGCCCCTGGCCCCCAAAGGGTTCATCTCATCATGGGTGCCACGTAGTTGGCTGGGAAGAGGCCCAGTTTGTTGTTCAGCAGGCCGGTCCACCAGAAGGGGTTGGAGCTGTCCAGGACTTCAACCACCTCTCCAGTGCGGAATCCCAGCTCGTCCTCCTCGAGGGCTTCAAAGTCGTACAGTGCCCGGGCCCACCGCACACGCTGTAGGGGGAGCACAGAAATGCTTTGCTGAGCTGCGGCTGGCCCAGGGGCCTTTGGGGCTGCCACTGTTACAGAGAGGGGATCTAAGAGTTCCCCTCAGACCTGGCATGCATGGCCTGAGCATGAAGCTATTGGAACTCCCTGGCTTCTTCTTTTTCTTCACTATGGGAGATTGAACCTAGGGTCTTCCCACTGAACCACATTGAGAAATCTTTTTCTTCATTTTTTTAATGGTGAAACAGTGTCTTGTCAAGTTGCTAAATTGCCCAAGCTGGGCTCGAACTTGGGACTGTCCTGCCTCAGCCTCCCAGAATGCTGAGATTATAGGCATTTGCCAGTACTCTCAGCTTCATTCTTGAGACTCAGGGCTTTTGTTTTGCATATGCTGTGCTGGGGATCAAAGCCAGGGCTTCTTGCATGCTAGGCAAGCCATCTACCACTGAGCTACATCCCCAGCCCCAGAATTGAGAAATTTTACTGACAGAGATATTTCTTTCTAAGGCCTCAAGGGAATCCCTGAGACCTACTGTCTACATCAAAGATGCTATTTTTATTTTCTTCGGGTGACAAACAATGGCAACATGCCCAAAAGAACATCCTTTGAGTTTAGTTTGATCAAGTCCCTAGTCAAGATGGATGACAAGAATAAAGGCCACCAATCTCCTGCTGCCAGAACTAGACACAAGATATATGAGAACAGGGCCGGGCTGACAGCCAGACTGAGAACAACAGCCTGGCGTGGGCTCCCCCGCCCCCCTTCCTGGCTCACGCGCCCACTTACCCCTGCCACTTGGAGCTGGACCGGGTCTGTGTGTCTCCGGTGCATGAGGGCAGCACTCATTTCACTGCCCACGCCCATGCCACAGTGCCCGTCGTTTATGTCCAGGCTGCCTCCACGGCGGTCCTAGAGACATGTGACAGAGGGCCCATCACCCTACTACCAGGGGCATCTCCTACATGCCCCCCACAATCCCTGGCTGATGGAGCAGAGGGGAAGGAGGATGAAGGGACTTAGACTGGGAAGACAAAGATGACGGGGTTTCATTTGTTCAATTAAGAAATACTTAAAAAGGGGAGTCTCATGCTCCCATGTCAGAGGCATGCAATAAATGTGTAAGTTCTTTTTTCTGGTATTAAAAAAAGAAATATTTATGAGGCACTTACCCTATGGCATTGCACCGGACACTAGGGCCATATTGCTGGAAAGAGAAGCCCTCTTCCCCCAGGCGGCTTCCTTTGAAGGGGCCACTACTCATGTGAAATTGATCAGCAAGCAGTCAGAGAGTAGAGAGGTCTGCCTGGGTAAATCAGGGCAGGCTTCAAAGAGAAGGTGGTGCCTGAACTGTGGCTTAAAATGGGAAGAAGACTGGCTGGGGGTGTGGAGCATGCCTGTAATCCCAGCACTCTGGGAGGCTGAGGCAGGAGGATGGAAAGTTCAAGCCCAGCCTGGGCAATTTAACAACTTAGTGAGATCCTGTCTCAAAATAAAAAAATATAAAAGGGTTGGGGATGCAGCTCAGGGGAAAAACCTTGCCTTCAATCCCAGCACCAGACACACACACACACACACACACACACTATGTTTGAGGGAGAGAACTGGCCAGGAAAGGACTCTTCAGGTAGAGGGAACAGCTTATAAAAAGTCACAAAGACAAGCAAGAAAGCGCAGCGAGCCATTCAGGTAGCAAAAGGTGGTGTGGTGCTGCTGAGATGCATGTATGCATGTGTGGAGGGGGCAGGTGGCAGGAGATGAGGCTGGGGGAGTAGATACGGGCAGCTCACAAAAGACTTTGCGTACTCTGCTAAGGAATTTAGGAGTGATGCTATCGGGCTACACTGTCCATCTCAGTAAGCCGCCTGAAATCCCATCTGGAACTTGCAGGAGATAAATAAATAAATAAGCAAGGCTCCATTGTGGGTGCTAATCCTTTTTTTCTTCTCTGCTTATAGATCTCCACAGCCGGATGGGTTAAGGGGCATAAACAGATACGGAGTTCTGCTGATAGGAAAATGAATCAACTATTCACTGAGTCCTCAGAATGAGAGAGAGAGAGAGAGAGAGAGAGAGAGAGAGAGAGAGAGAGAGAGAGTGTGTGTGTGTGTGTGTGTGTGTGTGTGTGTGTGTGTGTGTATTTAGGCAGGGACCCATTCAGTTCATAGATACTTCTTTGCCAAGAGCACTTGCTATGTTTTGACCATCTGATTGGGCAGGGCACAGAATCTCCACGAACGCTGTGAGACCCCATGAGCCCCACCCAGGCCTGAGATGTTGCTCCCCTGCTGTGAGCTTTGGGGAGGCAGATCCTCCTTCCCAACTCACCAGGGACCATTTTGTTCTTTCCAGATACCTGGTTAAAATGCTGATGTTGCAAGTACCGCTGCTGTGGTAGTGGCTGTGGCCCTGGGGTGAAGGGCTGGGGCAGCTGCTGGTGCGGGTGGCACTGGGAGGGAGGCAGAGGTGGGTGATCTGACAGCTTCCGGTTCATCGGAGGCCGAATTTCTTCTCCCACTGCTCCACTGAGGTGTGGGCCTCCCTGGGGCCTCCTGTCCAAATTGTTGCCCCGGTGACCCTGGGAGCGATAACAGAGATGATAATGCAGATCCACCCTCCTCCCATATCTCCCCACCCTTGTGGCAGCTTCTAGACTTTGCTCGCTACCTTTGCACGTAACAGTTCTGCAAGGGACAGCTTCTGGTGAGGGTGGGATAGCTCCAAGAGACTCGCTGGGTGGGACCTCTACATTGTCCAAAGTGGCCTCTGCATTTTCAGATTTTTCCTGGTTTTAGGAGTTCTGGTGTCTGGTTGACAGTTACTCTTTCCATGTGGGGCCCATCCAGTCCATTTCCAGTGGCTTTGTTTTTTCTCTGCGTAATCAAGCTTAAATATTCCATTTTACTGACACAATGCCACCCCTCCTTATCACATTGCCACACTGCTAGACATCCTGCCCTCCAGATAAGCTCGGCTGTTGACTTTGCGTGATTTTGAGCTGTCATTTATAGCCTGGTGATAGAGACCCCAATAGCAACATTCGGGCAGCACCATGGAAACCAGGCCTGCCGCTGGGCATGTTGGGAAGGAGCAAGGCTTTTCTACTTCCTGCTGAAACAACTTGGGAATCAGAAATACTTTATTGTTATTTTTATGTAACAAATAATTACATAAAGCCCTGGGTTTAGTAGATGCCAGCACTTTACAAATATTAACTCACTTAATCCAGTTTAATGCAATTCTCTATTGCCTCTCTTATCTCTAAAAGCACATCCTAGTAAGTTAATACTTCTGTCCATTTCCTGGTTAAAATAATTCACAAAGTTTTGTTAGCCTTTGTTTTCCTTTCTGAACTTCTGTGTGCACTGGGTGGGGACATCCTTTGCTCCTTTGGTTGTAATTGCTTAGTGTTCATTTTTTATTTTTTTTTCTCAGTGTTTAAAACAGCTGGTTGCTTGGAAGGGAGAGGTTTCTTTCCCTCCCCAAAGCTCTTCAAATAATCTGTTCCTAGGACTTGACTATTCTAGTCAAGGCTTCTTCCTATAACATTTGTCTCTTATAACCATGTTTTTTTCCTTTTAGAAACAGTTTATATATATTGCGTGTGCGCACATGTGTGGCCATTCACCTATAGGAGGCAGATTACCACTTGCCGCCTACTGTGAACCAGGTTCTGTGACAGGGCTGTGGCTATATTATATTTAATACCCGCAAGAGCCCAGTGAAGGAGATATTCTTGTTCTATTCTATCATTGAGAAAACTGATACTCAGAAAGTTTTCTTAACTTGAGTAAGTAATATAGGTACTTACTGATTGAATCAGAATTTAATCTGATCAATTTCTTTTTTTTCTTCAACTTTTTTTGAGATGCATTTCTATTGAATAATACTATATTACCAACAATTCCAAGAGCAATAATTCTAGGACTGGTTTTCCCTTCCAGTGTCCCGCTGGTTCCAACCCAAGGCTCTCACAAATCTCCTCCTGTCATCCTGGACCCTTGGCGACTCTAATATCCCTGTTTGTACCCTCGATTCCATCCTCGGGCAGCTCTTGAGCTGGGGCTGCAAACGGTGATGTGGCAATGTCTAAGAATAACAAAATAGTAACACCCCGATAAGAGCTAATATTATGGAATATTTGCAGTGAGATTAGAGATGATGTAGAAGATGTGGGTGCATTATATTCTCTTACTTTCATAACTTCCTGTGAGATGGATGCGTTCTCATCCCCATTTTATGGATGAGAAAATTAAGGATCAGAGAACCTTCCAAAGTCTCATAGCTAGGAAGTGTGAAGCCAGGGTTAAAACTGAGGCCTGACCTCAGAGTTATCTGGCCTTTGAGAATACTCAGTGGACCTGCCCATCAAATGCATTTTCTTGGTGATTTATGTGGGAATCCACACTGCTTGAAATCTCTAGGTCAAGGTTGATTGCTGGGCCAGAAGCATACCTGATCTTCTCGGGCTCTATCCCTCAGGAAGATCTGCTTCTGTTTGGAGATGGAATTTGTCCTGTAGTAGTCCACCAGCTTATTTAGGGACGGAAACTTCTCAGTCCACAGGAAGTAATTACCCTTGTTGTCTCGCATGACCTTGAAGTGTTGAACATCATCCTCGTGTCTGGAGATCAAGGCAAATCCAAGCTGCGTGTTACACAGTAGCCATGTCCCGCCTCCCGGGCTGTTTGCACCAGGGATGGTAGAGTTCTCTTTGGGCAGGAGATGTAGATGTGGATAATTTGCCCATCATTACTGGTCTAGCCAAGCGTTAGCAGGAGGTTTGTGGGAGGGACCACTTGATGCACTGGCTACACGAGAGGGATTTTTACACTAGCAGAAGGTAATCAGATGAGCTGGAATCTCTCTTGGAAAGTGGAGCCAACACTTACCAGAAAAAAAAAAAAAAATCCAAATGCCTTAAAGACCAAGACATCAAAGACCTTTGGATAATGTTTATTTGAAACATGGCAACACCCGAGTCCTGTGCTATGCTAAGTTGGAGGGGTTTACAAGCCCCTGTTATCTTTTTGTTATGAAGACATTACTTTGAATTCTCTTTTCTAAGCCCATAAGCTAGCACTGGCCACTAAGAAGCTGCTCTTTCCCCTAAGGAAGACACATTTTTCCTCTACATAAAGAGGATTTCTTGATCTTAGTTTATATTTTGCATAAGTAAGATCACAAAACATTTTGATATTTGGTGGGAGAAAAAGCACCATAAGGAATTGTAGAGTTTAATTGGGAAAGACCGGGAGATTGTTTAGCCTTACTTGTTCATGTTACAGACAAAGATGCTGAGACTCAGGGAGGTGCAAGGCCTTGGTCAAGGTCACTGTGAGCAACTGGCAGAGTTGAGGCAAGAACCCTGGGTCTCTGATGCCAGCCCACTCAGCTTGCCCTGTTACGCCATGTCGACACGCTAGTTTCTTTTCAGGCAGCACCTTTTGTTACCGGTCTGGAATCAAGTGATAGAGCACATTTGTACCAGGGCTAGAGAAACCAGATTTTATCCATCTAGAAAGGGGGAACTGGGCTTATCAGCCTGTTTTACTCTGTCACCATGTCACTCTGTTTTGGATATAAATTTTATTTTTCTAACATATATATTTATATCTAAAGATACACAGGTACTAAATACTCCTCCCCATCTCCTAGTCACAGAATGCAGAGTGTGAAACATTAACTCTTTCACTTTCATACACTTCAAGAATGGACGTCAGAGGTGCCCCTGATGATCTGAGCTCTTTGGACAGAGAACGACCATTGACTCAAATCCTGAACATCACACAGAAAAGGATAGATGTAACTCAGGAATCCAGATCCCAAAGCCTACTGTTTCAGACCCTTAACAAGTGCTAAGTAATAGAACTATGATAAGTTTTAATACTAAGCCCATGACAGAAAGCAGATATAAAAGTAAATGCAAATGATTTTGCTTTGGACTATATTATGCTATGTTTCTGCAGAAGATATACAGAGATTATGGTAATAATTCCACTAACAAGAGGCTGCAGTGCTTGAACACCAGGACGACTTTGGCAGAAATCAATGCTGACTGCTCTGTAGAATTCATTTCAATCAAGAAAATATAAACCTTAATCCCTAGCTGAAAAGCCAGGATCATAGCCAAAGGCACCAGAGGTGCCCGTCAATCTAACAAATTGCTCGGTCCAGTTTATAATTTGGGTCCTTAAGGAACAAGTTTGATTTGTTAGGTTTACTAACAGAGCAAAATTTCATTAATTAAGACCTAATACATTTAGATTTTGTGATACTTTAATTTTAGCTTAAGCTGATGCTTGCCATCACCCAAACTATAGAAAAGAAAGTTTTAGTTCAAGAAACTTAAGAGTTCAAGCAAAATTATACTGGTACTGCTAAAGAGACCAAGCTAGCCAGAGGAGGTGGGACATGCCTTTAAAGCCTCTCAGGAGGCTGAGACAGAAGGAGCTCATTATTTGTAAGTCCTTCTTCTTTACATTCAAAAATATCCATTCTTTCTAAATAGTGAAGTGGTCACAGCCTATGACCTGAGGTTGGATTTCTGTACTTGAAGCAGTAAAGCTTCACACATTTTAATACTGTTGAATAGTCCAGACCAGCATTCCCTGCCAGGGAACTGAATAGGTTGTCAGCTGTACAGGTTGTCAGCTCCATTTCTTTTACTTTCATATGTGATTGGTCACCAAGTCTGACTTGCAATCCCTCATCTGCTGACCACATGCTCTGTGTTCAGACCTCAGGCCTCTCAGTTGGGGGCTGTGTCATGCTTATGCCTAGACTGAGTCACTTCCTCCCTTGGTTGCACAGGAGTGACATTTTGCAGTTGGAGTTACAGTTCCCCCACCTGGCCCTCCTCTGCTGTGTTCTATTGTTCTCGGTTTCACTGCACCAGAATGTGTTGAAGCCTGTTTGCTTTCTGCTCAGCTACACAACACCCAACAGCAGTGACATGGGATTTCTACTTTTCTCTGACCCGTCTGCAACCACACATCAGTAGTAATAGAAAAGGTTAAGATTTAAACCCCTGATGAGTATGGTCAAGTGGAGCTCTCCTTTCTTTGCTTCTCCCCTCCTCCCTTCCACAAATATGCCTCGATCACCTACACTGTGGCAGGCTCTGGGATGAGCACAAAGATGAAGTAGATAAAATCCTGCCCTCCCGGAAGCACCTGGGTGAGAGGGAGAGGCAGACAAATGTACATGTGTAGACTTTTGGACACAAGCCAATATACTAAGGGTTATGGATGCACATTCTGGGAAGGAAGTGGGCAGCAGCAAGGTTGATAAAACGTCAGTGTGCTCGGTCACTTTAGTCACCATGGCTCCGATTACTGGGGATGTTGGAGAAGTCATCTCCGGGCTTCAGCAATCTGGGCATTTAGAGGCTGGGAAGGGTCAGGGTGGTGTTGGGAGTGGCCAGTACCTGACGGAGATGGAGAAGTCCCCTGGGGAGCTCTGGCTGGCCCGGATGATGAAGAAACCAACCTCCTTGCCCATAAGTAAGTTCTCTGCCTGGTGTCTCGAGAGGCCTTCGTGAAACCACCTACCAGGGAAGATAGGACAAGAGGACCTTGATGAGATGCATGATGATGAGGAGGAAGCCAGAAGAGGTGACCCGGGAAAGGGAGGCTGGGGACCTGTTCAGTATGGAGCAGACAGACTGACCTAAGGGGTGGGGGTGGGGTGGGGAATCCAGGTGCTTTCTGAAACCCAACAAAAGCTCCAGTAGTTTTCAGGAAAAGCCAGTGTGTGTTCCTCCTGACTCGCCCTCCTTTGTTCCTTCCCTCTAGGAGAACGCTCTCTCCAGCCTGGAAAACTTGAATCACGGAAATGTGCCACTGCACCAAAACGAGGCCGTGTGGGAGTGACTCACTGCGGGAAGCAGCCGCCTGCCCGAGCAGCTGTGTGAGGGAGGGCACAGAACTTCAGGACAGATGATGCGCAGAGAAGGGGCCGCTGTAGGCACTGGGGATCGGGGCAGCTGGCTGGGTAGCACCTGGGACACTTACTCCAGGCCAACACGTCAGTGGCCCAGAGACCACCCCAGGGGGCGCTAGAGGACAATGACAGCCCCGGGGGCTACCCGGGCTGCGTGGAGTAGGTGGGAGCTCTGCTCAGAGTTCAGGTCAGAGGTGCGAGGCACCCAGGGGGTCATGTGCACGATGAGAGAGGAGTCAGACCGGCAGCATTTGGTGAGCAGCATCTACATGGGCAGCTCCTTCGGATTCCCTTGTGGACGATTCCTTATACTCTCCCCCACCCCCAAATCCAAGCTGGAAAATCATCTTTACCATGGAAAAGAAGAAACAAGAGACTGGATTTTCCGAAGTGCCATACGAGTGTCGGGTTCTGTCTGGAATGTTGCTGCACACAGCGTGGTGGGTGTGAAAAAGTCAAATGCTTACGCAGGACAAGACAAAGAGCAGCCACAGCTGCAGGCAGGAGGTCAGAAACCTCCCTCAACCACAGAAAAGCAAAATGAGTGTTTGCAGTCACTCAGTGGCCAAAGGTGGGACAGTAGCACACAGCTTCAAGGTGGCTGCACTAATTGCTGCCACCAGGAGGCTAATACATTGTCTTTTTTTTTTTTTTTTTTTTGAGACAGGGTCTCATTATGTAATGCAGGCTGGCCTTGAGTTCACTATGTAGCCCAGGTTGGCCTTAAACTTGCAATCCTTCTGCCTCAGCCTCCCAAATCCTGGATTACCGCAGCCAGAGCTCAAAGAAAACATTTCATAAGAGGTAACAACAGGTAGTTAGGGGGCTTTAGAAAATATATTTGTTCTTGAACTGGATTTGGATGTGATTTTTTTTTTCAAAACTTCCCCAAATGTCCACATACTATGTATTAGTGGCCAGAGTTTTAATATTCTGTGTCATTCTGAAACTCCTCATTTAGCAGTTTTTATTGAACATCTACCATTGTGCCAGACCCTCTTCTGGGCACCAGTGGGCAGAACAGACAAGTCACCCCACTGTTAGGGAACTGATACTCTGCGGGGAGGGCTGGGGAGCTATATAATGTACAACAGAATAATCAAATACGTGGTATTCCAGGGGATAAGTACCGAAGAGAAATGAAAACTAGGAGGAGGAACAGGGTATGGGGAGTCATTTAAAATATATGATGAAAAAGACCTCACTGAGAGGGGACATTCTAAACCCAAAGGAGGGCAGGGGGATGGAGAGGACCCAGCAAAGGAGCCAAGGAGGAGCAGCCAGTGAGGTGGGGAGACCACAGGGCAGGGCAGGAGGAAGGGTGGCCCTTGGGTGTCAGTGGGAAGGAGAGATCCCCAGGTCCTGAGGCACAGAGACGACTGCTAAGGGTGGACCACTGAGACTTGTATTTCACCGTGACCTTGGCAGGAAAGTTTAGAAGGAGTGCTGGGGTGTTCCACAGAGACAAGGAGGTGAGGAGCAGGAAATACTGCACACCAACAAACCTTATGAAGAAATGAAGTAGGAGTCGGAAGGGATTGGGGATTAAGAGTTTCTCCTTTGCTGACTTTTTTTGGTAACAGGAGAGGATTGCAGCATGTGTGCTTGCTAGTGGGAAAGATCCAGCAGAAAGGGAAAGAGAGTGGATGTGGGAGAGAGGAGACAATTTCTGCTAGAAGCAGTGACAGTTCCTTCCAGACCGCTGCAGGAAGGCAGAGTGTCTGAGCGCAGTTGCAGAGGTGGTAGATGTGGCCCGGGTGGGGAGACTCAGGGTGAAGGAAGGGATCAAGGGCCAAGGGATCTCTTCTGGTGGTTGGGTTCCATTGTGCAGAGTACTAGAAGCAAGACCGAAGGGTGAAAGGGAGGTGGGGGAGGGGCTGGAGCACAGGGAAGGTGCGAATGAAGGGGTCATCCAGTCAAGATCAGCGGTCACTCTTCTGGCTCAGTACTGGCTGACTGACAGCCACGCTCTGCACCTCAGTGCAGTCATCATACCGCGCTGGTTTTCTAACAAACCTTTGCTCTTTAGGCTGGCCCCTGGCTCTGAGACAAGATTAGATTTCTATCTAATCCTTGTGGTCAATTCTTGAGACTAGAGACTCAATCTCGGTGTTTCACTTCCTCTTTCTGGAGGGAATTTCCTCCTTCCCCCTCCTGACTTCTCTCACTGGGGCTAGCCTGCTTTAAGGAAGGAGTGTCTATCAGCCCATCTCTGGTTAGGGCGGAAGGTAAGGCTGAAAGATAATGGAGAAGCACCTTGAACAGTGGCTTTAGGAGTGGGGTGGCCAACAGCGCCCCCTTTGGAACTTTCAGGAACTCTGCAATCTCAATCATTATAGGTGACTTCAATTTATGAACTTATTTTATAAAAACTCCAAGTAGGTAATACATGCACATGGTACGAACGTCAAAAGGGAATGAAATGAAATGCAAATCTTCCACCCACCCCTGGCCTTCCGCTGTGTGGCTCCGGAGGCTCTGGAGGGAGACCTCCAGAGACCACGGGTTTTGACGGTAACTTGGGTATGCCTGGATAATTTTAGTGACGACTGAAAAAAGTAAGGGGAGTGCATGTGGACAGAACAACCTCAGCAGGCTGGAAATACTTACTCAGGAAACTGGATGTCTATAAAATTTTTGGGTACATATCCTTCCTGGCTCCCAAGCTCCGCCTTGAACCACTCCTCTTGGTTACTTAAGATCTACAGAAGAGAACAAGACAAAGATACTGCAGGGAGAACATCAAAAAAGTAAGAGAAGGGGGCTCTAGGGCAAAGAACATCCTTTTGGACTTAGAGGAAGCTTTTCTGGGACATATTTAATGACAGCTGCTGTTACCTCATCAGGGGAGGGAGGAATGCCACTCACTCCTGCCACCCCTCCAGAGCTTGGCCTTCCAGAACTAGCATTTGGGGCCTGCCCTGAATCCCTTTCTCCTTCTTTTTGGAAATTTGTTCCGGATCTCAGCGGTACCTTCAGCTCCTCATTTGGGAAGATGGTGGGAAGGCAAGAATGGAGTCTTCTTCTCTTTCAAGAAACTTTTGGAGATTTAATTTTTTTCATGCACATAGATTCAAATGTAGACATCCAAGGGGACCAGCTTTGAAAACAGTAACTGTTTTTGTTCACACTCTGCATTTCGCAAATAGTTGGGACAGGATTCAAGATACTCGGGATGCCTTTTGTAAACTTGCTTCTGGAGCCAGTAAAATCAAAAGTTTAGTTCTGTTACTACATGGTTCTATCCTGACTGTCACCCTGCAAGTTGTCACCTACCTCGGTTACCCATATTACTCACCACACTTGGCTCCAGGCTTCTAGCTATTTCAGAAAGCGAGATTCACCGTTGAAAAAAAAATATTTGCCGCCCCCACTGAGAATGTTTCTAATGTATGTGACATAGATCTGAACAATAATTCTTTTTGGTGTGTGTGGGGAGTGCCGGGAATTGAATTAAGGACCTCACGCTTGCCAGGCAGGTGCTGCGCTACTGAGCTAAATCCCTGGCCCCATAAACAATAACTCTAAGGAGGATGGGAAGCAGAAGATGAACCTTGATGTTACCAGTGAACCCCTGAAATAACCATCCAGGAGCCCCCCTACTTCTGGACTTGGAAAAATAATAACTGTTTCTTGTTTAAGCCATTTTTAGCTTCTGTTTCTTGTAGCTGAAAAACCCTAATGGCTCCAAGTACTAAGGTCGAGGGGAAAGCAGAAGATGGACAGGAAAGACTACCTGGAAGAGAGGCCATCTGCACAGGCAGTGAGCTATTCGGTGAAGTCAGACGGCAAAGGAACCACTTCTAGGACACACAAAAGGCGGCACCTTCTGAGAACTGTGTCTCAGTATGGCTGGAGTTTCAATTGTGAAACCAGGAGTAGGTAAAGGGGAAGTTAGCAGCAACCAGGGCCTTGGGACGCATGTTGAGGAGTTTGGATTTTCTCTTGATGTTGAGGGGGAGCCATGAAAAGATTTGAGGCAGGAATATAGCAGTAAGAAGGAGAGGGAAGAAAGCGGTCTGTACCGGGGTGTAGAGGAGTTGGAGGTGAGGTAAGCGAGGGGAGGGACTAGAGGAAGGTGAGTGTAGCCCCTTGGACAAGAAGAGATGACTTCCGATCGTACTCGGGTGAATTAGAGTTGAATTCAACTAGGAAGAGAAGCCCAATGAGCCGGTGATGTGTGTGCTGGACTCAGGAGAGTGGTGGGGGCTGGGGGCGGGGTCTAGAGTCATCCAAAAGCGGGTAGAGTTGGAACCGTGGGTCCCAGGGGTTTCTTCCTCCCAGAGAAAAAGCCGGGAAGAGAACTGCAGAGAGCTACATGCAATTATGAAGAGAAGCAATGAGAGAAGCAATGATGACCTAGTTCTAACATCACTCCTGAGGTGGGAGAAAGCAGAGAGCGTTGAGTGTGGAACGAGAAGACCTCATTTCTAGCTCGGCTCTGTCACTAGCTGTGTGACGCTAGACAAGTGAATTAGCCATCTGGAAAACGGGGAAAAATAACCCCCAGCACCTCACAGAGCTGACGCGAGGGTCAAATGAGTCCTGGTACCAGAAAGTCATTCCAAAAGCAGATATTCTTTTTTAAAAATATAATTCTGTCAAATATGATATCCTTGTGTGGGAGAACTCCAGCTCTGAAGGACATGGAAGGGATTGTACGTTCTTTAAAGCATGACATGCGTATGTTTTGAGTGTGCTCATTTGTTCTGAAGAAATAAAAGCGTGTCCCATATTTGAGTTTGAGAACTGCTGAGAACAGGAAACTTCATAGTTCCTTACATCAGATGTGACTGTTGGTCTCACTAAGGATGTGTGGGTATGTGCATGCTGGAGTGGTGACGGGGAAGCAGAATATCTAGGTCAAAGGAAGAGCTAGGAAATGCAGCAGCAGCACCTTACATCCCGTTGAGCAACATGTGAACATTTCCCTCGGTGCCATCACTCCTGGGTTCACAACTTTCGAATCCCTTTCTCCCAAACACAGCGTTTGGCCAGGGTAGCAAATGTCAAATCCAAAGGTGAGGTGGAAGGGGTCATTTGGAAATTGGCTTATTATGGTATTAACTGCACTTTGTACTTTGTTCTCTGACCTGAACTAGCTGTAATTTTAGTAGTCAAGGCTCAGACCCACCTAACCACCTCCTTTAGAAACAGATTATCCCCTAATGCCGGCCATTTGTCTCCACCACCTGGTGCTTTCTCTGCCTGCGATTGTGTTTTCAGAGAGCTGAATTTACAGGCTTTTTGTGGTGTGTAAAAGGCAAGATCTTAAAAAAAAAAAAAAAAAAACCCAACTCATTTTCTGTAAAGAAAAGTATTTGGGGGGGTTTCCTACAGCCGTTGAATGCCCAGAGCCTTGTGACTTCCTGTTCTTCTCATCTCTCCATCGATTCAGTTCTCCCTATCTCTTTATCCGTCACGTAAACCCAAGCAAGGAGTTCAGCTTAACCCCAAGAAGTCTTGCACTGAAATTACTGTATCTTACTTCTTAAAATGTTCCCTAGGAGAATAATTTTCTGGGTTACATGGCCTGAGAATAAGATAGACGTGGGAAGAGAAAGACCAAAAGTACATCTGGAAAAAAATTTAAAATTGGGTAGAATTACAGCTCTTAGAGGTATAGCACAAATCCAAAGTATTGAGGAAGTTAATTATATAGGATTAACTCTTGGTGCTTTTGGGTCACTGTTTTAGAAGAAAGAAAGGGGGTTGGATCGGACACATTATTGAAGTGAGTAGAAATGGATGAGCTCAAGAGATATTTTTCTAAGTGACTGGCAAATTTCAAAGGCAGATTCCAATGTAAACCTGGTGCTGTGTGTAGCTACAGGTATGGAGGTTTGTGATAGGAACATGAAAAGTTGGGTTCCTGGCTTTCCAAATGTTTCTCTCAGGAAATGAAATCATTTGGCAGGGGTTCCCTGGCCACCATCTTGTTTATCATTCTGTGCAGATCAACACCTACTAAGCACCTGCAGCTTGTACCCAGGTGCTGGGAATACAGAGATGAATAAGCCCAGGGCTTGCACTTTGAGAAACTTATAGTCTGGAGAAGTTGGTTGTTGGTGAGGTAGCCAGACTTGTTATTATACTTTCCTAATGAAAATCTGTTTACTCTTAGCACCAAAGGGCGAACAAGAGAAAACGGTACCCCAAAGTGAATTGCTGGGGCATTTAAGAAATGGCTTGGAAAATGATTGTGAGGACTCTGTGTGTGTTTCCTATCTCAGGATGGGAGGGGCTGACACTGTAGTTGTAGCTAGGGAGCAATGACACAGGCATTAATGGCCATCATTTGACATTTTGGGAGCTCAGTCACATGCTCTGCATTTTTATCTTTACCGCTAATAGCTGTAATGGGCAGAATTTGAAAAGAGGGGAGGGGTTGGCTTTCGTGTGGAATTCTAAACGAGCGTGCAGAAATGCAATTTAGCAATTCAAAAAAATGCACACTGGGTAAACTATTTGGGGCCGTGACTTGTGTTAGATGCTGGGAAGACACAAAAAATGCACCCGGCATGCTCTGCTCTCAGGGAGCTCACCAGTAGAAGAATCCACCACTCACTCATCCGTCAAATACTGGGGAGGGCTGACTTTCTGCTACTGGAGACCCTGAAGCAGACAGAGGCCCTTCTTTTACAGAAGTTAGTGAGTGGATAGCCAACATGGACGTGGGCAGTTAGGAGCCCACAGGGTAAGAGCACAGTGAGAGATGGAGCATAGAGGCCCAGCCTGACTATATATGTAGCTGTCAGGTGAGGCAAGATCATGAGTGCCTCTTAATGAAGTGTGGGTGTGAAATGCTGGAGAACAGCTGAAGAGGGAGGAATTATTTTGCTGGGTGGTAAGGAAAGGGGAAGTTCAGTGAAGGTTCCTTGGCATAGGTGATCAGATACTGTATGTGTGTGTGGGAAATGGTGCTCAGAGTCTAGGGGAGAGCCTGGACAGGATGGTGTGTATGTTGCAGTGGAACTTGGGGCCATTATGTACACAAAGATGCATGTGAGCATGATGAGATTGGGCAGATGGTTTAGATTTCAATCAATTGGTAATGAAGAACCACTGAATGCTTTTGAGTAAGGAAATGATTTGATCTGATTTGTCTTCTAGAGAAATCCTTCTGGGACTATCTGTGGAATGATTGAAGGAGGAAGCGACAGGAGGCAATGAGGTCAGCCAAAGAGTTCTGGCAATATTTTGAGCAGGCAGAGGGAACACGAATGGATATACTGATAACACAGTGACCGTTTATTGAGCATTTGCTTTGGGAGGACCCTGAAGGATTGATACTCTCTCCAATGATAGAGGAAGACACAAAAGCTCAGAGGGGTCAGGCAACTTGGCCCAGGGTCACATAGCTCGTAAACTGGAAGTCAAAACCATTTCTAGTTGGCTGCCAAACCCAAGTTCCTTTTTACTGTATTGTTTTTGTAGTGAAGAAGGGGCTTGAGAGATATCAGGAAAGAAAACTATTCAGAGCACAGTACAGTGTTTAGGGGTCAGACAGAGCTCCCCTCAGACATTGGCTTCAGCACAGTCTACTTGTGTGATCTTGGGTATGCGATTTAATTCTCTCATCCTCAGTTTCACATTTGTTAAATAAGGTGGGGGGAAGTACTCCCTACCTCATGCATTTGCTGAGCTGATGAGATAATGCCTACACACCACTCACCCAGGTCAACGCCCTGAACAGGAGCTCCGGAGGTGTTGGTTCCTGACCACCTGGTTGGTCTGGCAAGGGAGATAGAGATGACTACAGAGGCTGCTAGTTTGGTGACTGACCTCTGGTGACACTTAGAACAATGGACAGGAGATGTTATAGTTGGGTCTGGAAGGCCCTTGAGGGCTCATGTGTGCAAGCTTTGCTCTGATGATGCTATTGAAAGGTATGAAAAATTTTAGGAGGTGAGGCCTTGTTGGAAGAAATGGGTCATTGGGGGCATGCTTTTGAAGGATGTATATTGTTCCTGAACCCGCCATTCTCTTCCTCTTTGTCTCTCTGCTTCTTGGTCACTACAAGGTGAGCAGCTTTGCTCCACCATGTTGTTGGATCTCATCACAGGCCTAGAAACAATGGAGCCAGTCAGCCACGGACTGAAACCCTGAAACTGTGAGCCAAAATACATCTTTCGTCCTCTAAGTTGTTTTTCTTGTGTATTTTGTCACAGTCATAGAAAACTGGCCAACACGGGGAGCAGGGCTAGTTTGTGTGGAAGTGGGGGATGACGTAGATGCTGAGGTTTCAGTGGGTCAGGGGCTGGAGTCTAGCGGCAACATCCAGCAAACGACTGGAAACGTGTGTCTGGGGCTCAAGGGAGAGGCCAGAGCTGGACAGTGAAGTCAGAGAAGTGGACGAGTGGCTCAAAGTGAAAAGGAAAACCAAAATGCTATGTGTAGAACCTCAGAGAAGTTACTGTCTCAGCCTACAGAGGGGAGAAGGAGCACTCAAAAGTGAGATCTTGAAGAATGACCCAGAAGAAAGGAAGAGGACAACAATGGAGGGCACCACCTGAGCAAGGGGAGAAAGCCTCCGGGAGAGGGATCAGCAGAGTCACGTTGCATGAGTAGAATCATTAGAGTTTACATGAAGGAGGTCACTGGTGGGCTCTAAGAGGATGTCACAGGTAAAAGGCAGATTCCAGAGGGGAATGGGGAAAAAAAAGTGCAAGGTGTTCAGTATTGAGAATTTGTCCATTCTGGGCAATAAAATAGTCAAAAGAAAGTAGGAGCTGGGTTGGGAACCAGAGTTTTTGTTTTTTCCTTTTTCTTTTCTGGAGAATAAGGACAACTCAAGCAAGATATTAGGTTCTTTTTGTGATGGAAGATGAGGGTAGGACCAGGCTTTGAGCCTTTTTTTTTTTTTTTTGGTCTTTTTGAGACAGGGTCTTGCTATGCTGTTCAGGCTGGCCTTGAACTCACTTTGTAACCCAGGCTAGCCTTGAACTCGCAATGATCCTCCTGCCTCAGCCTCCCAAGTGCTGGGATTACAGGGATGTGCTACCACGTCTGGCTTCTTGAGCCTTTTTTGAGAGGAGGATACCCCAGGGTGGTTGATAATTACATGCTCACCACATGGCAAGTCCCTTGATGACTTTGGTGAGGTCCCAAAGAATCAAAGCCCTGTTAGCAGCTCAGTCAATATTTTGAGCTTGCAAATCTGCAACATTAAATGCTCCTCTTTGCAACCATATCACTAGATCTTCTGAGTTGAGGGCAGTTAGAAGGCTATGGACTGAGGGTGTTTGAATTCCAGATGAAGCCAACCTATGTGGCTTGTGCTCCAAGGACACTTTCCCAGTCACCCTTTCCCATGCTAATGCTCTCTGTATAGCATGTGATTCTCTCTGGCAAGACAAGTTTGGCTTCAGTGCTGCCGGGCATCTGAGAAGGTGCATCTGAGCTGCTAAGGACAGGGCCCATGCTCCCTGAGTGTGCTCTGAGGCCAGGCAGGGGAAGCATGGCATCATATTCTCCCAGATGTCCTCTGGAAGGGCTTGCATTCTTTCAACCAAAAAAGGGTGGACTTCAGGAGACTTATATGCATGATGCCTGGAAATGTGAGAGAAGCCCAAGGCCACTCCAGCTCCACAAGTGGCCACTAGAGCTCAAGTGCAGGTTGCAGACAAGTTTTAAGGGGCCTCTGAGTGGCCAAGTGTGCCTGGCCTTTGTTGAGCCACATCCGGTCCAGCTGCCTCTCCCTCGCTGTCTCCACCTGTACCCTCTTCCAAGTCCCGCCCATGAAGAACCTGGCAGTGCTTGCTGCATTCAGCATGGCCATTCACATCTCTGAGCCTTACCAGAAGGTCCGAAAGACTTGCTGCACTCCTGACATTCACACTGCTACGTATTCCTGCAACCCTCACCTTTCAAGGTGGGATCACTTGTCACCCCACTGAGCACGGAGCCGAGAGCATGTGACAGCCCTTCTGATGGGTGTATTCCCCCTCCAGACCATGAGGATCTCAGGACAAGGTCAGTTCTGTATTTCTATCATCTGGCCTGGGGTTTGGCAGTGCGAGTAGTAACAGAATCTGTTGGGTAGAGGTGAATTTCTTTTTCTAAAAGGAACTACATGCAGTTTTTCGTGGACAAAGCCTTGGGCTGCTCGACAACCTCAGTGGTCCGACCAGTGGTCAATGAAACCTCAACTTCTTGTGGCTTCCCTGGTGCCCCTCCCCCATCACCTACCTTTAGGATATCTCCAGTGTGAAAGCTCAGCTCATCCTCACCGGATGCCATGAAATCAAACTTGGCGACAGCTTCCATGTTGTGACGTGAAGCTGGAAGAGAAATAATGCAGTCATTGTGCCGTTCCACCAGGGGCAGGGCCACAGAACAGATGGCCCTGCCTGGCAGTCTCAGCAATTGGTGGGACAGTGGCCGAGTGAATGTCTGCTGCCGGCTGGAGAACAAGACTTGGGTTGCCTGCAAGGGCTTGTGTTTGCAGCTAGAGCTGTGAGAGCCTTTGGGATCTGGTTCCTGGGATCATTCTCTGAATCCCCAGCTGCCAGGAGCAGGAAATTCAGGCCAGCAATAGCCTTTCCCCTCTCCTTTCATCTCCCTTGGCCTGGTCTGGCCTGTCACCACTGCTGGTGCATCTCTGTTTCCAGTTGATAAGGACAGAAGGCTTGCTATCAACCGGAATTTGAGGCCCCAGGGGTTAGGAAGACTGCTCTGTAAACACTGTCCCGAGGCTGTCCCTTGGCAGCTATATTTAACCAGGCGGTGTTAATTAGACAGATGCCATTTTCTCTTTTACATCTGAATCATTTAAGAGAATTAGACAGCATTGGCCAGTGGGGAACTGGAAGTTCTTTTTCCGCATGTTTCAGAGTAGGAAACAGCTTGGTCCTTGCACTGGGAGACTTTGAGCTTGGTCAGATTACTTGTTACATCGATATGGCATGAACCAAATACATTTCAGGAAATTTAACTTTGACGTTTCAGAACTGAGTCCATGAGTCAACCTATGTACTACATAGGTACAAACTACAGTTTGTTTGTTTTTTAAGGAGCCTGTGGAGATGGCATAAAAAGAGCAGGGCAGAATCCTCCTCTTACTGGTAAATAGCTGTATGATCTTGGGCCATCTCTTAAACCTCTTGGAGCCTCAGTTTCCTCATTTGTGAAATGGAGATCATTGTATTCAATGGATACAGTTGTGGGTTGAAATGAAGTAATAAATGCAAAGTATTACACAAGATAACCACACCAGGAGTATGTATGCTTTAGAATAAATCTATGGAATGAATCTTTCCTCAGTCAAGACACCCCAGTGGCCAGATAGAGCACAAGTTTCCTCTGGTGTCTCTCATCGCCTATAAACTTTTCTCACTGTAACGTGACGCTTAATCTCCAGAACTATCAAATCCTCTGATTCTCTGCTAAGACAGCTTACTGTCAGGGCAAAAACCGGAAAGCTGAGGCTTGCCAATTATGTTTTTAAAAATTTTCCTAAGTCTCAGCCATGTTGGGTGAGTTAATAAGTAACCCTCAAACCCAGTGGACTTTTAGTGATCAGTAAACTGGGGCCACAATTGTCCTCTCAGTGGGAATTTCTGCCCCAGTAGACAAGATTTAGGTAAATAAGGCAGGTGGCAGCAGGCGGCAGAGTGTAGCAGGGAGAGCTCAGAGGATTAAAGCCAACTGTGACAGGGTGATAGCAAGGGGCTCATGTCTCTGATGTTCCACATTTGCCTGATTTCCCAAGGGTAATTTGGGGTGAAGAATATTACCCATCCAAAGGTAGATATTAAGCAAAAAAATAGCTCAGGAGTCAAATAGTATGTCATAGTTGACTCTTTGAGCTTTTTCACCAGTCAAAACTTATTTCCAAACAGCAAAAACACAAAATCATTTTTTGTACACTTTCTTCAAGATTGGTCCGTCTAAGGCAAATTAGCATTTTTGTGACCTTGGCTGACTCACTGAGCAGGAAGGAGTGTTCTGCCCTCCTGCCTTAATGCTAGCTGTCTTTGCCTGTTTGATGGACTCCATTACATTAACATGCAAAGCTTCTCCTAATTAGGGCCTTGGCATGGTTTGCAGGGGGACTGGCTTCTATGGGTCACCCTCATGGTATCCATAGGAGACACTGGTCACCCCAAAAGATCAAGTGTCACGTGAAGGGTCCTGAAAGTTACGATCCCATTTCCATGCAAATTTACCTTAATAAGCAGAAAGGAGACAAGAGGAGGGCAAATGCTAAGCACATCAGAAAGTCACATAAATTAGAGTTTTAAAAAAAGCAATATCTGAAGCATGTTCTAGGTGTGACCTTGAGTTTGGGAAGACCTCTTTGATATTACTTGTAACTCGGCTTAGGTTTGGGTGCTCGGTCCAGGCTGGCTGTAAATCACATGGGTAAGAAGATCGAGGCAGAAATAAAGTTGCTTTTAGATAATGTCACTACTTTCCACCTTCCCCCCGGAGGCTGGCAGTGCGGCAAAGCCAGTGGCATAGGCATATCACAGGGCTCCTCAGCTTGTAATATTAATCCTGGCTCCAAAAACCCAATTAAACAAGCCCGCTTTTCATGAAATCACTTTGCAAGAAATGAATTTGCTCCCATTTCCATTTATGAAATGAAATCTGTTCAGCTGCTGGTTGGTGGGAGGGAGAAGTTCAAGGTAGGTTGGGGTAGTCTCTGTTTTTGTTCGAATCCCAGGGCTTCACAAACTCCTCCCTCCAAGCACCCCTAATAGCAGAGATTGGGAGATATATCACCCCCCAGAGGTTAGTCTTCTGTCTGTTCATTGAAAGGCATAGAAACTTATGTCCCTATTTTTCTATATCTATTAGTGTTCATTTTGAAATGTCTCCAAAGTACCACCAGGGAAAAGAAAACTGAACTATATAGTTTGTTCTGTATGTATCGATTTGTTGAATAATCTGTACCTGCCACCTCTACACATTGTATCTGGGGAAAAATATATGTATATGATGGGGAGAAAAACTGGCAGCAATAATTGAGAGAGAGAGAGAGAGAGAGAAACACAACAGCCTAAATTCAAGAATGCAATGGTGCCTTCTCACTGCTGTTTGTCATTTTAGTCTTCTGACCTCCGGAGGAGATGAAGAGAGACCCCCTTTTCAGAAGCCTCACAGATGGATTCCATGTGCTCTCCCTGCCAGTGATTAGCTTTACAAATGGCTGAAATGCCACCTGCCACGCAGTGTGAGAGGCTGCAGCCTCCAGGGGCAGCTAAGGTACCTCCCCCCGTCCCCCTCCCCCAGCCACACTGATGATGCCGTTTGTGGGGCCCTCCTGCCAGCTCTGCTTCTCAGCAGCCTTTTGCAACTCTCTCAAGCATCATCCATTAGCAGCCCTGCGACACAGACTTGCTTCACCATGGGGTGATGCCATGCAGGACTGCCCTGACATGATTTCTTCTCCCCTTCCATTTCCACTTAAGCTTCTTTTACCCTTAAGAAAAAAAAAAATCTGAAAAATGTACAGGCTTTACACCAGGAATACTTGTCTCCTTCTAAAATACAGTTGGCCCAGAGAATGAAAACAAAAAGCAGGAGGCCGCTCCTTAAAATTACCTCCATCTGAATGCCAGGTTAAATGGATTTGTTCAAAAACCTACTTATCATCAAAATGGTACTGGGCAAGAAACTTCTTGAACAATTTCAGCTCCTCCTAAGTTGGCTATGAATAGCCAAGGTTTCCATTTTATGTATCTTAAAAAGAGCAATTGCATAACACCACGAAGCTAGGCAAAGATTCCGGCTCAGGACCCAACACAAGAGGGAGTGAGGTCCAAAATTGAATCAGCGATACCACTTCCTATTTTGCTAGGGACAGGTCTAATTTGAATACTTGCCCCAGTTTATGTTGTAATTTAGATAACATAATGCCTTGCAATTTTAAAGAGAGAGAGAGAGAGAGAGACATTGCTTTTTATAAGTCTTGCTAGTTGCACATTTATCAGGACATTAGCCACAAATGTAATTTTTATTAGTTTATTTGTGTATGAAGTGAATGATGAAGAGTTTACATTTTAGGGTTTTGGCCACAGCTACCAGGAGGCACTTGGCAAAAAAATATAAAATTATTCCAGCTAGTTAATGTCACACAATTCAGATACATAAAACTCATAGTCTCTCTTTTTTCTTCCTTCCTTGATCCCCTCCCCCGCCGGCCCCTTTTCTCTGAGATGGGGTCGTGCTGTGATGTCCAGCCTCATCTTAAACTTGTGGGCTGAACTGATCCTCCTGTCTCAGCCTCCTGAGTGGCTGGGATTCCAGGTGCATGCCCTTGGGCCTCGGGGAATCCACGCCGTTCTGTGGGTCAGGTAAAGCCCCTCTTGGAAATGATCAGGAGAATGCTTTCTCTCCCCATGGAATTGACAAAGTTGGCTCAATTACTTTTCAGAAGTGGGAAACCTTATGCTAACCAGGAAAAATGATTATAGCTAAATTCCACTGTACACAATAGAAATGTTCTTGAGAAGTTATTATGAAGAGAGTATTTGTAAATGGAATCATATTAGCAGTGTTATGGAGGCTGACTCTACAAAGGAACCCTGTGGTGAATCTCTTTATAAAATGAAAAGGAAATTTTGTTATGCAAATAACTACCTTTTAATTGATCTGTTTTAAAGTCTAGGTTTTCAGGCACTGAATCTTAAAACAGAGCACACCTGTATATGGCCTCTAGCTCCCCGCACTGGGGGCCAAATATATATTAGATACCCCTCTTCTTAATTCTCAAAACATTTAAAAACTCTCTGCTAAAAAAAAAAAAAAAGCTCTACTATTGCTAAAGAACATTTCATCTTGGAGAATAGACAACATTCACCAATAGTCAACAGCGCTCTGGTAGCCAGGAAGGAGGCCCTAGATGACGAATGAATGGGCAGAGCTGTGTGCCAATAAAACTTTATTTGTAGACATTAAAATTTGAACTCATATGGTTCTTACATGGCACCAACTATTATTATTGTTTTGATTTTTCTCCCCACCACTTAAAAATGTCAAAACCATCTTAGCTCAAAACCATATGAAGGGCTGGACTGGGTTCATCAAGCCTCGATACACATATTTATATGGAGGCACATGTCTGTAGCTACATCTGTATCCTATCTCCCCTTGTAGTGTGCAAGCTTCTTGATAGGAGGGTTGTAGCTTAGTGGTCTTAAGAGTTGGTGGACTGTATTTGAACCTAAAATGTGCCCTTCCTAGGTGCCCTTGTTGCCTCATCCGTAAGTTGGGAGCAACCACACTCAGTTTGTGGGATCATTGTGCTTCAGTGCATAGCCCTAGCACGTAGTAG